GAGAGTCTTATAGGTGGAGCAGCCAGGACAGAGGCCCTCAGGGATCTTCAAGGAGGCCCATGTTGGGCAGAGGTGTGGTTAAGGGGGTAGAGCCATGACCTCCGGCTGGAGCGGTAGGCAGGGCCCAGATCAGATTGGTCTGTGCTCCCTGGTAAGTATCGGGCTGGCTAAAAAGTTTGTTCAGGTTTGTCTGAGATGTTACGGAAAAACCCGAATAAACTTTTTATCCAACCCAATAGTTTGGATCTTTGTCCAAGTGCATTGGGAAGCCCTCACCCTTTTAGCTTATCTCACCTGGGAGAGCAGAATTCAAGAATAAAAAGCTTTGAAAACGTGTCTGGCAGGGCCGTAGCTGAGTGCCTGGCTGGCTGGCGTACTGCAGACCCCAACGGCTAACGTCGTAGAACTTGGGCTTTCTCTGCAACCTAGTCCATCATCAGGTCCTTCCTAAGGTACCGCCTTATTTTAAAAGGCAAGTCCTTTCCTTTCTTGGTAGGACAGAATTTCAGTATTTCCTTAACTTGTTTTGGAAAGTAGTAAAATGTCAAGTACTTGTATGAAGGCAAGAACAGAGGTTCATCATCCAAAAAATAAGTGTTTTCCTTCCTCCGAGGGGCTGTGAAGTGAAGGGGTCGTTGGTGCCATTGGCCAGCTCTGAGTGCCAGCCTTGTGCTGAGTGAGGCGGGGACAGGTCATCCCTGGAGGGTAAAGAAGAGGCTGATGGGGGAGACCCTGGTCCACACTACACTGACTGAACAGAGGGCTAACTTCATGAACTGAATGGTCTGCCAGCGTTCTGTGTCTTAAGAATTGAGCATTTTGGACCCTTAATAATGAGAAGGAGTCCTGGCATTTCGTATTACTAGAAATAGGTTTCTGAGGCCAGTTTCCATTACAGAGCGACACTGGGCCTGACGTCTTCAAAAGAGAGTCTTCTCTTATCGATGCCCAGGCTAATGGCAAAATAGAAGCCTTCTTACTCTAAGTCTAAACGATGCTCCGTGGTTTCCAGAAATTCCTCTGCAAGCTCATCTCCAGAAATTTTACTCCTTCCCTACTTGTTAGGTTGTGATGGTCTTGGTTTGCATCTGTCTGCCCCCCCCCTTTTTTTTTTTTTTGCGGTATGCGGGCGTCTTACTGTTGTGGCCTCTCTCGTTGCGGAGCGCAGGCTCAGCGGCCATGGCTCACGGGCGTAGCCGCTCCGCGGCATGTGGGATCTTCCTGGACCGGGGCACGAACCCGTGTCCCCTGCATCGGCAGGCGGACTCTCAACCACTGCGCCACCAGGGAAGCCCTGTCTGCCCCTTTTGACTGGAAGCTCCTTGAGGACTTTGTCTGGCTCCCACCGGATCCCCAGGGTCCAGCCCAGGACTCGGCCTGTGTTGGTGAGCAGTGGATGACGTGTGGCAGAAGAAAGACATCCTGTTTCTCCACTGCCACCACAGATGCTACCTCGGGGTGGCCACGGCTCTCTGGGCCACTGTGTTCTACCACTCCCTGGTACGCTCTGTGACCTTGGGCCCACTAGGAAACCTTTCTGTGCCCCAGTTTTTCATCATCTGTAAAGAGTAGATATGGTAAAGAGCTACTTTCTTGGGGTGTTGTGAGGAATGAGGGAATTAACATATGCAAAAGGCTTAGGGCAGTGCCTGGATCACAGGAAGCCCCACGGAGATGTTAACTATTTGTCCAGCTTCCTGCGGCAGAGATGGGCAGCAACAGCAGCTACTGCTTCCTGTGGGCTAAGTGCTGCCCTGTGCAGTTTACTTTCATTCTTTAAGCCCCACATGAAGCTTATCAAGTGGATATTCTTATCTCGATTTTGCTGATTAGGACACATTGCCAGTAAGTGACAGGGCAGAGACTCAAATCCACGTCTTTCGAAGGTAGGACCCCACACTTTAACCACGAGGCTGTCCCATCTCCAGTCAGGGCTGGGGTCCTTGCTTCCACGAGAAGACACTGGAATGACACTGGGGGCTGCTCCCCAGGGTATAATTGCCAGCTTCTGAATGAAATGGAGGGAAAAGCTGGACCGTAGCTCCCTGCTGCCCACTGGCTTCTTTTCTGCCAGAGGACAGCTTGGTCCCTAGACTGCCTGTCAGATGTCCCAGCATCCTCTGGAGCTGGGCACCCCCAGCTTTATCTCTCAGCCTCGCTGTTCAGTAGAGGCACCGTTATGCAAATACTCAGATGTGAATCGTTCGGAGGAGGAACCCTCTCTGCAGCTTCCTCTTTGTCTCTGGCTGCTCCCTGACATTCTGGAACCTAAGTGCTCATGTGGAGCCTTCCCGCCAGAGCCAGGCGCTGTGCCGGGCTTTGAGGATGGAGGGCGCTACATACAAGCATCAGAGGGCGACCCCTGCCCAATAGCCAGCGAGGAGCCTGGGCCTCAGTCTAGGCCCACATGGAGATGAATTCTGCCAACCACCTGCATGAGCTTGGAAGTGGATTCTTTCCCAGGGTCTCCAGCTAAGAGCCCAGTGTGGCCAGCCTGGGTTTGGCCTTTCAATACCCCGGACATAGAGCCCAGCCGAGCCCACGCCGACGTTTCACCTACAGAGCTGCGAGCCAGCAAGTGGGCCCTCTCCTTGGGCTCCATTTAGCTTTTCCGGTTTTCTTAGAGACGAGCTTTAGTGGTTAGCTCTGGTTATTCCAAGCCCTGGCCCGTGGCGTGTGGGCCCTAAGGAGCTGCCCCATCTGTTGTTAAACCTGTCCCTTATCCCTGTGGAGTCCGAGCTCCCAGCCCATGTTCACGTGTGACAGTCTGGGGCTCACCTGAAACCAAGGTTGGAGCCGTAATGGATGGGTCCTGGCTTCCTCCCTGGGGCAGAGGAATATGGACGTTCCTTGCACAAGTCTGGTGGGCTTTGGCTCAGACAGCTTTCTGATTGTGGTTTTTTTTTTTTTTAAACTTACCTGTTTCTCACCTTAGATGTCACCTTGCTTTTCCTTAGCAGGACTGGTCATCAGGCGGCACTGGCTGAGGCCTGCAGGGGTGTAGTTGGCATAGGGATAAAAACAGTGACCTGGCAGACGTGTGGGTGACACAGAAGCCAGAGTCTCCCAGGGTCTGGCTGACCCTGTCAGAACAGGAGAAGGGAGCCCAAAGTAACGGCTCTTCCTCTAGGTGCGAACATCCAAACGATGCCAAAGTGGGAACCTCATTGCTCAAGGTGAGTCTGCCTCTGAGGAATGATTGACAGACATGAGTTGGTATCTTCCTTGGAATGGGATGCTTGACTCAGCTCCGTGTGATGGATGGATGGTGGGCTGGGGAAAGCCTAGGCTGGAGGTTTCTGGAGTCCAGCCTGGGTTTCCTGAACAACTCAGTGCATCTGTTATGTAGGGTTGGGGTCAGGGCAAAGACAGACTTCTGAAAAAGGGCCACCCGCCTCCACTTTCCAGGTCTAAACAGTCTTGTCCCCAAAGAGGGGATAACGCATGTGGGCAGATAAGGACCAGAGAGCCATGGCAAGCAGTGGGTGTATAGACAGGGCAGGGAAAGATTGGTGGTTCCTGAAAAATCAGCCGTGGGTCTGTGAGAAGAGACCCGGCCAAGAGCCAGGAGGAAGACAGCTGCCTCCGGGTGAGTCATAAGGTCAGTTTGGAGGTCAGCTGATTTCTCTACACCCTGTAGGTGTCGCGGGGGCCTGGAGAAAAGGAGGGGTTCTAGGGGCTCTGGTGGGTCACGGTTGTCACTGAGTCCTTCGCTGGTGGCTGTAGGCCCTGGTTGTGCTGGGATAGTACCCAGGAGGCTGCTGGGCCCTGTGACACAGGAGGGCAAGTAGTCAGCTGGTTGCTGGCATTGGACATCACTGGGTGGCAGTGCTGGGGAGAGACGTGGGAGAGGGGAGTGCTGATGGCCTCACCTCCCTGCTGCTTAACTCTATGCCTGGAGATCCTAGGACTTGGGGTGGTGTCATTTGAAACATTACTGATTAGTTAATGAGGAAGGTGAGGGTTCACAAATCAGCATTGCAAATAAGCATGAGCTTGTGGCGTTTTAAACCAACCTTGTTCTTACTTCCCCAAGAGTTTGTGAAATCGTCTTTTGGTGCCAAGGTGACAGGTCCAGAGAGACCTGAAATTGATGCTGATCGGTCCCTTTCCCATAACAAAGCTACAGACCTGTGCCTGCCCCAGCAGCGGCCAGGAGGGCACGTGCCAGGCTAGAGGAGGGAGCAGCTGGGGTGACAGGGTACCAGGGAGGTGGGAAGCTAAGGGCTAGCTGCACCTTGCCGTGACTTCGTATAAGCCATTTCCCATCTCTGGTCCCCTGACTCTTCCTTTATGAAAACAGGAGGTGGGACTGCTTGACTGTCATGATCTCTTCTGGCTCCAATGCCCCAGACTATTAACTTTGTGAAGTGCACTGTGATTGAGACTGTTCATATGCTGGGACCCAGAGTCTGGCTTATCTGAAGACAGCATGGTGGTTGATTCGACATCGTGCTCACCTCACTTGCCCTTGGTGTTAGACCCCTGCAGGGTGGTCTGCCCTCTGTCTCCTGAGACATTTGCCTACTTGCATGTTCCACGCGCCCTGCAAGCGCAGGCCACAGCAGTTCTTAGTGGCCGCAGGGAGGGGTGTCTGGGATATTGCATGCAGAGAGACGAGTGTGAGAGGACGCCACGAACGATTAGAAACTTCTTCACGGTAGGACCAGCACCGCTGATTAATCAGAGCCAAATTCTCCTGCCATGTCCACCACAGAGACTCTTCATCACTCGCCCCAGTTCGCTGCTTTCTTTCACTTTTCCTTGTCCTCGGCTTTTAGAAAGAAAAGTTTTAAGATGATTCGGTCCCAGTCCCTGTCTCTGCAAATGCCGACGCAGCAAGATTGGAAGGGCCCCCCGACAGCCTGCCCAGCCGTGTCTGCAGCAGCTCCTGTGCTCCCCGGAGCCCCTCCCCAGCCCGCACCTGCGCCCTATGCCATGCCTGAGTACCAGCGGGTCACCATCAGCGGAGACTACTGTGCTGGGGTAAGGCGTCTCTGCGGGGGCTCTGTGAGTGTTGTATATGCCTTGTGCCAAAGCTGGGGTCCCGTGGGGTCACGTCCAGCCCTGAAGCCTGGCCTGGTCTGTGGGTGTCTGGGAGGTGGCAGGCAGGAGGCACAGGAGCCTGGAGAGAAGGAGGGTTCTAGGCGACGTAGCGGGTGTGTGTCTAGGGCGCTGCTCTCCCTGTGAGGAGGGCCTAGGGCTGCAGGTTGGTACACCGTGTGGCCCGTAGGTTCCATATGTGCTGTGGGCCCAGAAACACTGCCCTCTGTCCCTGTAGCCCATTGGGGACGGTTCCAGCTTGGGCTCTTTAGTGTTCCCAGATGTTGAATGGATTAAGTCCTGGTGTTGATTGGTTTGTGCGAAATCAGTTATTGCTGAATCAGCTCCTCCTCTGTGCTTGGACTCATGTCCTTAAATACAGGCTAGACCAGCCAGGCAGGACGAGCAGGTCTCGACAAGAAAGTAAACAAGCTTGGTTTGCACCAAGTCGGTTAGCTCAGTCACTGAAAATGTGCTCCTTTCACCTGGTTGGATGATGCCTTTTTATTGCTTGTTTCTTGAAGAGAAGTATCACTTAGTGCCAGGTTTGGTTCCATCTCCCTGGCCCTCAACCTACTACCCTCAGTTGGCCTTGTTATTCTGTCTCTCTTCTTTTTTAACAGTAGTTTTAGAATATATAGTGTATCTGAGAAAGCAAAGTGACTTATTACTCTTCTATACGTTTTCTTCTAGCTTAAAAAAATTTATTTTTTGAGCAATAGAAAATCCTTGCACATGGCTTAAAATTTAAAAGGTACAAAACTTATATCAGTCCTCTAGCCACCCGATTCCCCTCCTCAGAGGCAATCCTTGGTTTTGGTTTCTGGTGTGTTCTCACATAGATGGCCTGTGTACCTACAGTTTACTGTGCCCATGTAGCTGATTTATTTATTTTTACACAAATGGTGGTTACTATACATTATACTGAGGCTGGGTTTTTCATGTAACAGTACATCTTGGAGATAATGCCATATCAATACATCAAGAACTTCCTTGTTATTTCTTTTTTACAAGTGCATAGTATTCCACTGTGTGGACGAACCATACTTTATTTAAATTCCTTTCTGTGCATGGGAATTTTGGTTGGATTGGAAACAACACAGGCCTTGCCTGGAGATACAGTATCCTGACCAGGAGTCCGTGGTGTCCACCCAGCCTCTGGCATGTGGGCAGAACAGTGGAAGGGGAGACTAGAGGTGGGCTGACAGCCAGCTGAAGGGGGGGAGGACGTTGGCCTGGTGCATTAACTAGCTCCTTTCAGTCAGTCTCCTGCTTGGCACATTGTAGGGCATTGAGCCCCTGAACTGGTGAGTGGTCCCCAGAGAGCCACCAGTCTATGAGAGGCAGGCTGACCTTGCAGGTCGCCTTGGCCCCCAGTGGGTCAGCCGCCAGGCATGAGGCCTGCAGTGCTTACAGGTTGGCTGGTCTGCTGGGACTCTGAGCACGTCTCTGATACCTCCAGCCGTGGCCTGAGCCCCTTGCCCTGCTGAGTCCCTCAGTCCTGCAGACAGTATTTGGCTTTATTGTTGGCAGGGACATATTTGTGTCTACGGTGTTGTCCGCTCACCTATTCCTGTTGCTCTCCTAAGCCATCAGAAAGTGTAAAATGGAATTAACACCCCCTCATGGGGACACCTGGAGTCAGGAAAGGAGAAGCTCCTTCCTTAACAAGAAGCAAGGAAAAAAAAAAGTGTAAAAACGTGCATGGGAAAGATGTATACCAACTTCCTTCCTCTGAGGATGGAGTGGGTGGAGGAGGGCAGAGTTTTAGCTGTTATCTGAGATGATTTATTTATGTAAACATATAAGACATCTGAAACAACAATAAAAAATATTAAAATTGTTAGCTCTGGAAGGTAGATACATGGGTGTCTGTCATATTATCTTCAGTGCTTGTCTGTATGTTTACAACATTTCAAAGCTAAAAATGATTTTTTTTACTAAAGCAGAGAGGTCACGGTCCAGGCCCCAGCCTTCCGGCTCTGTGGTCCCTCTTGTACCTCCCTCTGCTGCATCTCATATCCTCTCTTACGAATGACTGTCTCCCCCAGCACGTTCAGATTTCTTCCACACCTGTCCTTCCCAAGAGACAAAGATTAACGAGCCCTCTGGAAGGTGGGAATTTATCTCATTTATCTCTGAGCGTGAGGCAGCTCTGGGAAAGCAGAGCATACTTGGGCTTTGGGACTCGGTCAGATCAGGGTCTGAAGTTTGACTTCGTGACTTCCTGTGACTTATCCTCTCTGGGTCTCTGTTGCCCCAGTTGTAAAATGGGTTGCAGTGAGGACCAAAATGAAATCTACGAAAAGGGTCTGTCCCATAACACACAAGTGCTTGTTGACGGGGTGAACGGGGGTGATTACCAGATGAATCAGAAGCCTGGGGTTGGCAAAGCAGCAGACTGAGCACACAGAAGCTTTTATCTTTACCTCCGAAGAAACCATGTATTTTCTCAACTGAAAATGATGATGCTAACCCTGATCGGGGATACGGTCCAGGCTGTGCTTCTTCTTGGGCCGGGGGCAGCAGCAGCTGGCTTGTGGTTTAATCAGCCGCACTGAGGCTGGCCTGCAGTGTGCAGGCTGGGGTACCTGACTCTCTCCAACAGCCCCAAATCTCCTCCTGTGTTAGGGGACCCCCCAAGACCCCTGCTGGGTTCAGTGATTTGCCAGGAGGACTCCTAGGACTCAGCGCAGAGCTGTGCTTAGGACTAGGATTTATTACCGGGAAAGGCTGCAGAGCAAAGTCAGCAAAGGGAAGAGGTACGTGGGGCAGAGTCTGGAAGAGGCCAGCAGCAAGCTTCCCAGCAGCCCCACCCAGTGGAGTCACCAGAACGCACTTAATCCATTCAGCATTGAATTGTGACAGCACGTGTGAAGTGTCATCTACCACGGAGGCTCCTTAGAGACTCAGCAGCCACGGTTTTCACTGGGGCTGTGGCCACACATCTGCAGAGCACATCCCTCGGGTCCAGACTCCCAGAAGGAACTTGGGTGTCCGGCATTAACCATGGTATTTGTACAAACCGTTCAAGCACAGGGAACCACTGGGCCCACAGTGGTGGGAATGCTCCCCAAACCCAAGTTGCCTGCTGCTCGTCAAGGGCTAACCTTGCGGCAGGTCTTGCTAGGTCAGTGGTCTCAGGCCTGCTGTGTGAACCCTTTTCTGCAGATCACCGTGGAGGACTATGAACAGGCCGCCAAGAGCCTGGCCAAGGCCCTGGTGATCCGGGAGAAGTACGCCCGGCTCGCCTACCACCGCTTCCCACGCACCACGGCCCAGTACCTGGGTCACTGGCGGGCAGACGCTGCACCTCTGGAAGAGGGCCTCCCAGGTACGGCGCTGTGGCTGCAGGTGGGCTTTCAAGCAGGGCATGGCTCGCGGGTTGGTCAGGAGGTTTTACTGGTTGGATGTATCTCCCCCAGATGGTGTTTTAAGGGCAGAGCCCTGGTGTTGGCTTCTCCTACACTGATTTTTTTTTGCTGGTTTCCCCAAGGATTGATTCCACGTGCACTGTGTGCCTTGCCCTGGGTTGAGCTGTACAAGTTGAGAGAGACAAAGCAGGGGAGGGGGTGAAAACAGTCCCTGATCTTGGGGGTCCTCCAGGGAGACAGGCAGCCTCATGCTGGATATTTAAACACAATCAGACAGTAAATGCCAAATTGGTGGTGAGGTGGGTGGCGTGTGGGTAAGTAGAGAGGGTGTGTTCCCAGGGCAGGGAAGTTGGCTCTGGAATCCAACACACCTGCATTCCGATCTAAGCTCCACCACTGTCTTGGGCAAGGAAGGTATTTCTCCAAACCTCAGTTTCTCAGTCTGTAAAATGGGAATACTAATATCTATCCCTTGGGCCAGTTGTGAGGATGAAACGAGAGAATGCACGTGAAGTGGTTAGTGCAGTTCTGGCATCTGGGGAGTGATTGGTGAATAGGAGTTACGTTGATGCTGTGGAGTTTGGGGAAGGAGGATCAGAGAAGGCAGGATGGTTTCTGGTGGAGTCTGTTTGGCCTGTGAAAGACCCAGGAGCAGTAGAGGCTGCAAGTTAACTAATATGAATGAAGACAACAGGAAACCTCGATCTTGAAAGTTGGTGGTGGGGGATCGGATGAGGGCCTGGTGGTCTTGTGCCAGCACCCAGGACCCTGGCTGCCCCCTCGGGGGGGAGTTGGTGCCAAGATGTCTCCTGTCTCTTGCTTTCCTTGAAGCTCTGAGACCTCGACTTTGGGCATCTGTGACTACCTGGGGCCCTGGGTAAGTCTCAGCCCTCCCAAACCCGTTTCCCTGTCTGTCTGAGGGAAGTTGATCCCACCTGCTCCAGTGTTGGCAAGGGCAGGCAGGACTGACTGTTGAAGGTGTACTTTATACAGAACAGAGTCCCCGGGGGCCCGGGTGTGAGTGTGGTGACGTGGAGGCAGTGGTCCCCCCAGGCCTTTGGACTGCGTGTGTCTCACAGGCACTGGCACACATCAGGGACTCCTGAGCTGGCCTGTGGCCGTGCCTGAAGTGTGTGTGGGGGGCATCAGTTCCCCGCCCCCGTGATGCCTCACATCTGCTCTAGGGCAGTCTGTTCCAAGCACTGATGGGGGTTGCCCAGGCAGCTACTCCGCCTTCATTCCTTCCATTGATGAAGATTCCAGGGTTTCCTCCTGCCTGGGGTGGCAGCCAGGCAGCTGGACCCTGTGCGGGGTTGGCTGATGTGCAGAGCTGAAGCCCCCAGTTCTACTGCCACTCGGCATAACCTGTTCCTTGGCCAGAACAGAGCTTATCGAGAGCCAGGAAAACCCACTATGAGAGCAATGAGAATAATGCCTTACGATGTATTACTGTTTACAAAGCATTTTCCTCTACCTGCTAGCGCAGCCCTCACAACAGCCCATTAAGGCAGGGTGTCATCCTCAGGTGAGCAGACAGGTTCAGGAGGTAACGTCGTTTGCTCCAAGTCGTAGCTGGGAAATAGCCAAGAGGCCTTTTCTGGCTCCTGTGGGCTAACAGCCTGCAGCCGTAGGGACAGACAGCTCTGTCTCTGGGGGGGACGCGTTCCCTATTCTGTGCTTATTTGTGGAGGGGATGGCTTCTAGCCCCTTAGCCTCCCTGGGCTCAGGAAGATGTAGAAGGGCAGGGACGGTTATTCCCACCGGGCAGTGCCAGCTTCTGTCTGTTATTAGGGGAAGACACAGCTGCCCTTTTTCATAAGCCTCGTGTCCCTGAAGTTCCCAGGAGGCTGAAGCTCGTTTCAGTTAAAGCAGTGAAGGGCCAGCCGCGTGCCAGGGCCCGTGCTAGGGAATGGGGACACAGCAGTGAACAAAATGAACATATACTGCCCAAGATAAAGAAGAGAAATTACTTTACATAGTGGCAAGTGCTGAGGAGACAAAATAAAGCAGGGAAGGGGATATGAGATGTCGGGGGCAGTGGGAGTGGTTAGGTTTTAGATCAGACAACCAGGGCAGGCCTCGGTGGGAACGTGACTTTTTTTTTTTTTGCATTACACGGGCCTCTCACTGCTGTGGCCTCTCCCATTGCGGAGCACAGGCTCTGGACGCGCAGGTTCAGCGGCCATGGCTCACGGGCCCAGCCGCTCCGCGGCATGTGGGATCTTCCCGGACCGGGTCACGAACCCGTGTCCCCTGCATCGGCAGGCGGACTCTCAACCACTGCGCCACCAGGGAAGCCCGGAATGTGACTTTTGAGCCCCCGTGAGCTCCTGAGGTGAAGGGCACTTGGCCATCACTCAATCCTGTTTTGCAGACTTCCACCCTCCCCCACTGCCCCAGGAAGACCCTTACTGCCTGGATGATGCTCCCCGAAACCTGGGCTTCCTGGTCCGCATGCAGGGGGGCATCCTCTACGTGTACGATAACACAAAGATGCTGGAATGCCAGGAGCCCCACAGCCTGCCCTACCCGGACCTGGAGACCTACACGGTGGACATGAGCCACATCCTGGCTCTCATCACCCATGGCCCCACGTAAGCCCCCCGAGTCTGCCTCTCTTTGCAGGGGTGCTATCCTGTAGGAAGGGACCGGGAGAGGCCTCTTGCTGTGGGCTTCTCCTCAGCTAAACCACCCCCAGAAAGGTTTCCCCTTTCCCCAGTGCTTTGTGGGTTTCTGCCACAGTCTTCCTTCACAGCCTGGCATATTAAAGTCGCTACTACCTGTCCCTTCTGCACGCGCAGGTGTGGGGCATCTGCTTGCCGCTGGCCACCTGTGCACCTTAAAATGGCGGTCACTCCTCCCCCCAGGCAGGACGGCAGCCTTGCAGAGAGTTACCAGCCTAGGGCGTTACTGCAGGTGGGGGAGTGATGAAGACTGTTGCTTCCTCTGTTGGCTTTTCTGTGTTTCTGGAGGGGAGAGTGCAGGGAGCCTGGGAACTTAGCCACGACCCCCGTGTCGCCTGTAGGCTTGGCTCGAGCTAACCTGGCGGGGAGCTGTCTTCCTGGGCCCTCGCTTCTTGGTGAGCACTTAAGCGAATCAGCAGAGGAGGCTCAGCCCGCCCGGGCCCCGAGCCCCTCTGACAGCGGCTGTGCTGTGAATACCAAGCCAGCACTGGGGGTCCGGGGGAGGGGGAGGAAGCTGGTCGCGGCTGAGGGACTTATCTCTTGCCCTGCCTTTTGGGGTTCGCTGGAAATGGGGTGATGCCGTGTCTGAGGTGGGAGGGTGGGCCCCGAAGGGATGGACAGAGTGGGTCTTGGTCCTCGGTGATCTGAGGGCAGACGTAAGAGCCGGGAGGGGAAAGGGTAGCTCCCGGGAGCTTGCCTCAGCCAGGAAGAGCAGGAGCTTTGAGGGGAAGCCTGGGGGATGGGACTGCTCCCCACGCGTGTGAGCAGTGGCTGTCGTCAGGGCGGGTCCCGCTGGGGAAGGGACTGGGTGATACGGCCTTGGGAATCCCGTCCGACCCAGACTCTCCCGTGCTTGGCTCTGGGGCTCATGCAGCTGACAGGTGATGGTGCTGGTGCGGGGCCGGCGGCTGCTCTTCACGCACGTCTCAGTGACGGGGCGCCAGAGTGTGTGTTTGGGGGCCACAGGGAAGCAGGGTGGCCTGGCTCGTGATTGAAGGTTCCGCGTGGCTGTGGGCACAGGCAGTTAGCTGAGAATAGGGAGTGCTCCCACCTGCAGTGGCCTTTGCCAGCCGGTGGGGACATCAGTCCTTGCAGAGATGGTAACAACACCCCTACGTTTCTAGTCTGCCCATGATGCAGAACATCCTCCCCTCATCCTGAAGCCTCAGCGTTGAGAAGTCTTCAGGTCTCAGGGTTTGGGGGATGTCATTTGGCCACAGGGTGGTTCTCTGCTGCCAAGGTGGGCAGGTCACGCCTTAAGGTTTGACTGTATTATCAATCTTTTTCACTCTTTTCAAGGAGTGAAAGGTGGCTGAGGATAGATGGGAGGAAGGAAAGACGGAAGGGCTGAAGGAGGGAGATCTTCCTTGAGTGTCCACTCTGCTGAGTTGGGCCCTTCACACACATAAGCCAGTTTAACCCTCGTTTCAGTCTTGGGCATTGCTGGCTCCATACCTGTTCATGAGAGAACAGCTTGGGATGAATTGCCTAAGCCCGTAAGCTAGAAGTTAAGGAACCCGTGTGAGGTTGCAGTCAGCTCTCTACTGCCCCCATCGACTCACATGGCTGTGGTTCCACACTTCAGCTGGGTCTGCAGAAAGCGGGCCCCTCCGTACCCCTCCCTGCTCCGTCCTGACCTTCCGCCCAGGGGTCGGTCGCCGCAGACACTGGAGGTCTCCAGACTAGAGAGCTTGCTGTGCCTTCTTCTCAACTGTGGTTTCTCCCCCTTCTCAATCTGCAGGAAAACGTATTGTCACCGGCGACTGAACTTTCTGGAATCCAAGTTCAGCCTTCACGAGATGCTAAATGAAATGGCCGAGTTCAAAGAGTTGAAGAGCAACCCTCACCGAGACTTCTATAACGTGAGAAAGGTGCGTGAGCCGGTGTTCAGAGCCGGTGCCCTAGCCCGTCCGGGCTCGGCCCCCTGCGTAGCCTTCCTATGTACAGAGGGAAGACTGGCCAGTTGCCTTCCGTGCGGCAGGCCACGCCTCAGGTGGTACTTGGTATGACATGGTGGAAACCTTTGTCCATGTTGTGTATCTGTTGGAACGTGCCCTCCTCCTTGAGAAATAGGGCATGGCCTATTAAGTGGTTATAAGAGTGGAGACCAGCCTACTTTTACAGTAGAGAATGTATTGAATTTATCATGGATCGAGAAAAGCTATTCAGGCCTCTTTGGACTTGGGAGTTTGTGGCCCTGCTTCCTTCTGCATGGGGCGTATTTAAGGAAGAGCATCCGACGTGCCCCCCTCTCTGGCCTTCCCCTAGAGTGGAGAGCCTGCAGGGGCCGACGTGCAGGTTAGATGATCAGGGACTTCCGCTTTGCCATTTTATTCCGTGTGACTAATATACAGCGAGCGTGGGATCAGTGCCAAGCGTGGGGCCTTTGATGCCTAATGAGAGGACTTCTTGTCCACAAGCAGCTCCCAGCCTGTTACTGTTAGTGTGATAGGTGTGTGACCGGGGTGTCTTTCAGGGAGAGGCCAGGACTGAGGTGACTTTGAGTAGGAGTTTGCCAGGCAGAGGGCAGGGCAGGGGGTGGAAGTGATGGCCCAGCAGGTAGAGGGAGCTGTGGCTACAAGCAGCAGCAGGGGGAGAGTGGCCTGAGACAGGAGGGAGCGTGAGGGTGCCGGCACAGCTGCAAGGGGTGCAGTGTGGCTGGAGCTCAGGGCTGGGGGCAGAGGCTCGTGGCGGGCTGTGGGGAGTGAGCCTGCAGGTGTGGGTGAGGTTCTGGATCACGCAAGGGCCCACAGGTTTGTCAGAGGCAGCAGGGAGGTGGGCGGGGGTGTGGCACTGCTCTGGGACAGAAACTCCGGGAGAAGGGTGGGGTAAGGCTATGCCCGGAGGAGGGGTGGCCACATCTGAACTGAGTCACAGCAGGGTTGTCATGGCCACAGGGGCCTCTGTACCAGTGCCACCCTCTCCCTGGGGTCAGCTTTGACAAGGGAGGGTAGGCCAGAGGAGGTTGTGTCTCCTCTGGGGAGCCCAGCTCAGGCCTCCCTGACAACCCTGCCTGGGAGCACTCAGCAGTACTACGTGGACGGCCTTCTCCAGCGGGGCCCCGAGATCACCTCTGCTAAGCTGCATCCCACTTGGATGGGATCAGGAGCCTCCAGAGTGCAAGTTAGGCTTCTGCTCCTGGGTTCTGAGGCTCATGGAAGAGTCTCGGGCATTTCCAGGCAGAGGTGAAAGGATGTGTGGTAGACACCACCTCCGTGGCATATTCACCTTCAGGCACCATCTGTTTCTTCTGTGTGATCCTCAGGTGCTCAGACAGCTGGGTGCCTCAGTCATTAGGCCAGCTCCTCTCTGCCCTGCCCAAAGGAACCCTACAACGCCCAGATGGGTGTCCAAGAAAACTCCTTGCCCAGCCCTGCGCAGCCCTGCCCTCTGCCCACGTGCGCGCTCTGGGCCCAACTGCTTCCTGCTGCCTGCGCCTGACTGCACTGGCTCCGACACTGTCTGCTTCTAAGGCGGGGCCCCAGTGGGTGTTTGCGCTCTCTGGCCACCATGAGGGCGAGAGTCCTAGGGGGCAGGGGGCGAAGGGGCTGTGGTTACATACCAGAGCCCATCCTCGCGTTCCCTGTCAGTCTGGGCGTTCATGTGCTCTCTGGACAGAGGTGGCCTTGAGCCCCGTGCTCTGACACAGTGGGCTGTTCTCTGACACCACAGCTATCCGTAAACGCACGTCCAGGTCAGGCTGTGCCTTGCCCCTCCCTGCCTCCTGAGTGCTGGCTGCTTCATCTTACCCTGGAAGCCTGTGCTAGGGGAGGAGAGCTGACTTTCTGAAGTTCAGGCCGGGCTGGGAGGTGGCCTCCATACTTCCAAGTGGCTGTCAGTGTCACGGGGGCAGGCCAGGGTCCTGCTCTGAGGCAGGAGCTGTGCCTGGCTGTGGGTCAGTGTGGGCGGTACTTGTGAAATTACCTGCAACGTCACATCAGGTCATGGGTTATGGCACCGTGAGGCCAAACCAGCAGGACTGTGTCCCTGAGATGACTGTTTTCTGCTCAGAGCTGAGAATGAGGGGCTGAGTGTGTTCGCTGCTTGGGAGTTGGGTAAGATTAGGCCTTACCCACTTCGGTTTAAATGTCATATCAGGGATAGCAGATAGGTTTCGTCTTCTGTGCCAGACTTGACCAACGGGGAGTGCCTACCTGAGGCTACTCCCGAAGCTTAGTGAAGAGTGCTGTAATTGATCACCGATGTTTGCCACAGGGGTGGAAATAGTCAGCGTTGGCTTAGGGGCCGGGTATTGGCCAGCCCTGCTTAGAAACTCTACTGTTCGTTTAGACCCAGGTCTTAGATGAAAGCAAGGAATGCTCTTGGGTCTTCTGGTGAGTTGAAAATGCTGACCTCCAAGGACAGGCTCTTTTACTTGTTCCTAAAATAATCACCTTGGTAAGTTTGAAGTTTGGATCAGATGCTTCCTGGATTATCCAGTTGTTTTCCTCCCTCCTCTAGTGACTCCTGGGAATGAGGACAGGCTGCACCCCCTGCAGTGTGTCATTGCTATGCTAGAGGACAGCAAGAAAGCCCAGAATGTGCTAAGTCATGCTGAGGTAGTTGAGCCCAGCTGTGTCCAGATGAGATTACTCCGGCTGACCTCCGCTTGTGTGTCCCACATGAGCCCAGCCCATCCGTGTTGTGCCTGAGCCTGTGTACTGCGCTTTGGATGACGTTTTAACTTTTGGTCCTTCCTTTCTCTGATGCCTAGTGGTCTGTTTTTCTGGTAGGAGTGGCAGGATTAAGGGCAGGAAGGGCTCTGATGAGTGAGTGATGTTGGTCAGTAATATGGGCTGGCTGATTAAAAAGCTCACAGAGGTTCAATGGATCGGATGTCTGGTTTGGCATGACTTGGAGGTGCCTGGCCAGCTGTGAACAGCATTCTTTGGCCTGAGGTCAGCCGCCTCCTCACCCCAGCCCTGGCAGAGTGCCCAGTCAGCTGCAGCAGGGACTGCAGAGTGTGGGCTGGCAGCTGGCAGCACCCTGGTCAGTGAGGCTGCTGCCACCCTCCTGGGGGAACCTCCCTCAGGCCCCTTGGGCTCATGGAAGGGGGTCAGGATGTTCACTGTGACTTCAGGCCATCTCTCAGCTTAGCCAGGCCTCCGTTTCTTTAGGGCTAGTGGCTGAGGGGAATGCTCTGAGGGCTCCAGAGAGGTCAATGGCAAGTGTGGGATTTTGTGGGGCATTAGGTGGGTCCTCAGGTTTCTAGAGGTTGTGGATATCATCGAAACTATTGGAACCTCCTACACCTGTTCATTGGTCCATTCATCCATCCATTGATTCAACATCATACCAGGCTCTGGGGTAGGCGCTGGAGGCTTAGATGCATCAGACATGGTCCCTGTCCTTGAGGACTGAGCTCCCAGTCTAGTGATGAAGTAGACAGAAAATTATTAGATCAGATTGGAGGACATAAACAGTGACGGGAGTGTCTGTGCTAGAGTCCCAGGTTGGGCAAGGGAAAAAATGATCCGCTGTGCTTGCGGGATCAGGACAGGCTGCCACGTGGAGGAAGTCGTGGGAAATTTCTTGGTGGATGGATCGGTGGGGAGGAGGGAAGGCATGCCAGGCTGAGGACACGCGGTGTGGAATAGCATGGCACCTCGGGCACCTGTAAGTGGGGGTGTCCTGGCTGGAGCAGAGAGCAGGGCAGTGGCAAGGTGAGACTTAAGGCTTGAAGTAAGCCTTGAATCTCAGGCTAAGGAGCTTGGGCTTTATCTTGAACACTTGGGGGCACTGATGATTTGTTAACAGGGATAGTGGCTGGATCTGACCTACATTTAAAAAAGATCTCTTGGTGCTGTAAGGAGGGGGACTGGGCAGCAAGGCTAGACGGAGGAAGACCAGTTCCAAAGTCTACAGGAGAAATGGGGCGGGGGATCTGGCGTCAGTGCAGGTGCTGAGGCTCTGCGCTCCACACCGAAGCCTGGATGTCCTGGCTCCTGTTGCTGGGGGGAGGTGGCCCAGCTCATGTGCTGCGGGCCACTGTGTTGCAGGTGGACACGCACATCCACGCAGCTGCCTGCATGAACCAGAAGCACCTGCTGCGCTTCATCAAGCATACGTACCAGACGGAGCCCGACCGGACAGTTGCCGAGAAGTGGGGCCGGAAGATCACCCTGCGGCAGGTGTTCGACAGCCTGCACATGGACCCGTACGACCTCACTGTGGACTCGCTGGATGTCCATGCGGTGAGTGAGCTCGGCCAAAGGGCCTCGTGCAGTCCTGGCAGGGGACTCAGCCCCCTGGAAAGGAGCCAGGATTGGGCTTGGAGAGAGGCTGGCCATGTAGGCATCTCTTTCTCTTCTAGCCGTGGATGATATGGAACAGGGTTCTTGGCCTTTCTGATCAATAGAAATTGACTAGAGGCTAGACAAGAAATTTAGGCAAGGCTTTATTGGGGATCCTGCTGCAGCAGGGGGGAGCGAGAACAAACAGGTTCCCTTGCGTGCTTGCTCCCTGAGTGGGGAGTGAGCTTGTACCTTATATGGGGTAAGGGTAGGGATGTGTCCCGGGGTCGGGCGGGAGCGGTGGCTTAGGTGGTTTGCCCACCCCTCTGGTGGTGTTGAGTGCAGGGGGGCATGCTCAGTACCCTGCTTTTGCTTCCAACACCCTGTTTTTGCTCCAGGCTCTTCAGAAGTGGCAGTTGGGTTTTCTGGTCTCTTTGTATCTTTT